TATGGCATTATCAACTTATATATAATGTTAGATTCATGCGGAATTATTTTATTGTTTTCAACATTCGACTCATTACTATAAATGCCGTAAAAAATAAGACTATAACTCCATAGTTTGTTCTCGAAACGTCATCAGATAATATTAATGTTTGACACTGTGTGATTTATCAGAATAAAATCTTATCCATGATGGAGTTATCTTGTACCACAATGCCCAAGTTTTACACTTATGTCAAAAATAAAAGTATAAATAAATAAAATCAAGTGACAAACACATCATAGTTTCTAATATCAGATTCTTCACTTATGCTACATTTACTGTTATTATTATAATTATTGTTATCTCATTCACTCTTGCTATGATCACTTATTGTAGAGATTTTTATTTTTATTAAATCACCAATTTTGTCAAACTGTCAAGAACTGGATTTTCAAAATATGTGCGTATTTCGCACAAAGACATTTCAAACACAGACAATATTGAACATCGAATACAAAAATGCATATCTGTCTTAGATAATTGCAGAAATCTTAGAAAATATATTGCCTAATGATTTGATGGATTTCTAGTTATTGTTTTTCGTAATTACATTATTTCTCATAATTTTAATCATTAACATTAGAGGTAAAACGAAAAGACGATTAATAAATAAATAAATGATTGACAGTAATGGTAACTTATGCACTCAATCTAATTATAATCTTTGACTAAAGAAACTATGTAAGACTCATACCTGATAAGTTAACAAGGTTATTCTTAAGAAGTTTCATGACTGTGTGCAAATTTATCATCATTTAATAGATAGTTTTATGCATCAACTCTGTGTAGATGTGTGTGTGTGCGTCAAATACTTGTCACTCGATTGAAAAAATGGATTAGACTGATAAAAGAAAGTTCATCTTAAATATCCAACAGAGTAGTGGTAAATTTCATCGAACTAAAGTTTGCCTATAAACTTGGTTCTTGAGATTCTCGACTTAAGTTTTTTATAAATTAAGAACTCCAAGAATTTGACGTAAGTATATCTGGTTAGTAGTGCTACTGTTTTTCAATAAAATAGACACTTTTCACCTTAGATTTCTTTTCCATGTATTTAGATTAAACTGGTCCGTATATGACATGAATACCCACATAACTATTAGTTGTCATTTTGCCGATAAGATTTATTTGCCTGCTTTTAGACTGCTAGTTTAAAAATTTTTTGAATTAAAAGTTAATTATTGTTCTATCGTCTATGCGATTGGACATAGTAACAGTTTCAATTTACTTTTCCCGAGAGATTACAGCTTTAAGAAACTTCCCTATAGCCTTTTTGAACTTCTCCCTGATACATGTTGTTTGGTGGTACTTTATGACTACTGGGATATTTTGTTTCTTTGAGGTGTCAACTGCAGTTGAAACTACACTTGGTTACGAGGCTTTTTTAATTTGGTAAATGATAATGCTCCACTTCGTTTGTTTGTTGATTCCGTCTTCATTCGAATAACATGCTGTCACATATTCCTCTACATTTACTCATTTGGTTTGATTAAATTTGAGGACACTATCACATAGTTCAAACATGATTAGTTTAACGAATTTTTTGAACTGTTACTCATGCAGACCATCAGTTGTCATCGCTGTAATCCTTTACTGACATCTTTGATATTGATAGGATGACTTAAAGCATCTTCGAGCACTTCGGTCCAATCAGTCGATGGCAAAATCAAAAATTCAATTCAATAATTAATATGACCCGTTGCACAAGAGGTGGTTCTCGTGGCCCAAGTGGTCTAGTGGATAACGCTTTGGCGTTTGAAACTATGGGTACTGGGTTCGAGCCTCGGTGGGAACATCATCACTCAATGAGAAATGCAGGTACATCCAGCTGACAAGTCCCAAATAGGACGAAATGCGCATCCTGGATTCCACTGCTAGCCACCATCCACCAATTGTATACTAATTAAATACCCAGACATCGTCGAAGCATCTGCACACGAAGCCGACATGTCAACTGAGACCGAGCACTTCGGTCCAATCAATCGACGGGAAAATCAAAAATTCAATTCAAGTTAAAATAAGTTGAAAATCAGTCGCTAATTTATTTTTTAGAAGGTATTATAGTGTAGACAATAGTTAAAAAATTTATTTCCCGAAAGAAATTTAAACGGTTAATAAAGGAGGATTTAATGAATTCATCAAATTTCCGTAGAATCGTTAGCTGAATACTCTGCATACACAGATATATATACTTTTGAAATTACATTCACAGACTCAAGACTGATGAACAAATAAACTACGTTGAATGATTCATGCAAAATGACATGTGTGAACATTTTTCAGGTCATGTTCAAATAGATGAGGGAAAAAGAGTATGAGAGATTAAAATTAAGATAAAATGCATTACACTGCAGTCACATCACCAAGATGAACAACTTGTCATTAGACAATATATCAAGAATTGCGAACTGAGCAATAGTAATAGTTTTAATAATAATAATGTTGAAACGAGTTAAGATAATGTTACTGATAAAATATAGTTTTAAGTGAATCAATAATAATAAGACGTAGAATAAAATGTTAATAATAATAAAAACAGTTAATAAGTAAAACGTATTACCATAGTAGATTCAGAGTGACGACGACTTCCTTTTGTACACATAGACCTGGTATATAACCTCGAATTGCACAAGCCTCCACAATTGCAAGCATCTTGCTGTTTGTTTGTCTGCTGACAATAGTGAATGACTTGATAGCGTCGATGTCATATCCATAGTCCACAAGATGTTTTGTTATTGAGGTTTTTGGCACTTTGCATTCATCCGTTTTCAACCATTTTGGCGAATGATCAATCATGCGAGTAGACAATCGCCTTTCTGTACGACCTATGTATTTGCTTCCGCAAACACACTCAAATTGATATACGCATTCTGAAATGTCGAGGATTGGTAACTGGTTTTTCCCAGATTGTTGAAGCACTCACTTGGTGGTGTTGATAAAAACAAGTTTTGCGGTATAATAAGTTCTCCTGATAGCTTTATCGAGTCTTCGTTTGACTACCTCTTGTACATGATCTCTTTTGAATGACAAATTGATATAGACAGATTTCTTTGGAACAGTTTGGATGGTTTTTCAGGGGCTAAATTTCACTGACCAATCAAAGTATCCAACAAGCATAGTCAGTCATATTACAGACAGCTTGGTATCTATGTATTAGGCCACAGTACTAGATAATACTTGTTAACTCTTCTAAGTAATCCTGAGTTCTTCTTTTTATAGATTACTTACACTCTTTGTTAACTAGTGACTACCGGTAAAACATCTATGTCCGTGATATAGCATAAGCTGTTTTCAACATATGCTTTAAATATAACAATAGACAAGCCAATGCTTGTTGTGGGTTAAAACCAATGCTAGCCAAACATAACTGTATAGACAAACCAAATATCAAGATAGTGATTTGTAATTTTGCTTATTTATCTCGGAATAAAATGTCGTTACTTATCGATGACTTCTAGTTAATAGAATAAAACAGGGTGAATACAACAAGTAACAAAATATAAGAAGTAAAAAATAATACCATAAAGTAAATAACGATGAATTCGGTCATAAAACTGTACATATTTGTTGACCATCGAGAAAATGGTAGACAGAAAAATCACAAGAATAAGGGGTTAGAATTCACACTTATACTGTGGATATTTATTGAGAAAGAGTTGACTCCATTGTGAATATGAGTCAATGGGTGTATCTGCACACATTTCTTCATCCTGATTTCTGCAATAAATAGACAAATTAATAGTAAAAAAAATACAAATGACACGCAGGATGATGTGCCACAGAAAGAATTTTATCTAACCAATTTTAACATTTGATGTATACCAAGTCGGATAACATCACGATATCCATAGGTGTTTCATTTGCAAATTGTACCATACACAGCGAAAATTCACCGGTATCTCCTTGGAAAATGAAAAGTATTTACATCGCAATATTTGAAATGCTCGATAACATAAACAGCCATCAAGACTGATAAGAGTGGTTGAAAGCCACTAGCTCTGATCAGTACAACTTACTATCCAGGTCTAGATGATCTATACACCAACTGCCTATTATATTTATGCAGTATTCCAAAATCATACTCAAAACTGAAACTAGTATTGAATGTGTCTAGAAAATAAGTTTTCATAATAATAACCATAACACCTTTATTCTGGGCAGTATATACAAAATGTACAGAATTTTCAGAGGAGCTTATTGCATGATATTGTCCCTTCGTACAATATCTTCAATTGAAATATTAATTGACAGCAGTATATTCTGTGACACATTTCTCTCTGAGCTGAAACACAAACCCATTCCATTTTCATATATCCGCTTTTTCCCCTTCAAGAAATCCACAGTGTCTAGTAGAAAGCCAATTGTAAGATGTTCAGAAGCACATTCTGAGACCGAAGGACATAACTGAAGAACAGTTATCTCATGTATTGGAACACGCTGCCATTCACAATCAGGCCTTTCCTGAAGTTTAGTGGGGAGTTACGAAACAGAAGTTTGTTAACATTTTAAATTCACATAAGAGTAGATAATACCAATACAGGTCATATCTTAGTCGATTAAAACAAAGCGAACGAGAGAAAATATATGCAATAGGGAGATGAAAGTTTTCGGTTGCCCACGTTTTAAGCAGGCTGCCAGTTTCTGTCACCCAGAACAACGATGTAACATTGAATTGCCTTCCTCTTCTTTAATGTGAAAGAAAACTGTTTCGAAAAGTGATTGAAGTATCACGTGCTTTTAAGTGTTCTTTTCAAATGGCTTCCATGTTTCACTGGGAAAGTGAGAGTTATGAATTTTTCAATCAAATTCTAATGCCCCTTTTTATATTTCTCTTTTTCTCTATTTTACAGATTTATATTTATAAAACAATACGTATATGAGATGGCAAACAGTGCTTAAGATGAATATCAAGAAATAGCTATCCTCTGCATTCCATGTGTATTTTTCCATTTGCCTTTCATATGATGAAGAATATGCTCAAATCACTATTATTATTAGATGATATTTCAATTCGTATTTTGTTATTTTTCATCTGGCGTAATGTCGTAACTCAGAATACTAAGGATGCAACAGCAAATCGTTTCAGCAGGTCTGCATCACCTTCTATGATCAATTTTAATGGTTTACCAATAGCACGTGTTTATGCAAGTACATCAGAAGAGATAACACCTGGTAGCCTTGTTCTGGATTTGAGTAAACATTCCGAAATAAACAAATTTCTAGCTGATCAAAGTGATTTTCTAATGTCTACAACTGAAGCTTATCGATACAGACTATTGAATGCATTCGACAGTCACTTATTTCGTGTAGGATCAAAAACTGGCAAGATAACTGTTGCTGCACGACTAGATCGAGAAGCATTATGTGCAAGTGTAAAAGCACAGTTCTGTTGTAACTCACGTTCCGGAAGTATACCGGCCTCATTTTCAAGTGAAACTGATTGGAAAATTAAGTCAGTCGAGTTTAATCCAGGTCAGCAGTGTTATTTAGTGGCACATATTAGTGTACAGTCAGATAGTGAGGTGATTCGGAATGCAGACAGTTTCCGTGGGCCCCAGCAGGACAAAACAAGTCGTGCAGCTCTGGTGTACTTTTATCTACATTTAGAAGATATCAACGACCACACCCCTCAGTTTCCAGAGCACTTAGTTGATCTAAACATCATGGAGGATACGCCAATTGGTAGTGTTCTGCATTATTTCAGAGTTACGGATCCTGATGTGGGTTCGAATTCACTGAATTCAGTGAACTTATCAATCAGTCCACTGCCTAATTTACCATCAGATCAGACGTCAAAATCTCAGCAGAATAATTTTTTGATACCTGACTTACTGAATAAACCTTTCGAAGTAACGCTGAACAGAGATGGTATAAGTTTCACACTCAAAAGTCAATTAGATCGGGAGACCGTTCCAGCTTATGACGTAACACTGATTGCTGTGGATGGTAATAAACAAATTCCCCGTTCAAGTCAAATCAGTTTTCGTGTACATGTGGCCGATGTCAACGATAACCCACCTAAATGGCTAAAACAAAAGTCACACAGTGATTTACAGAGTTCAAACTATGAGCAAGAAACAAGTTTAGAAATGGATAGTGATTATCCAAGATTTTTAGTCTCTGTACCAGAAGATACACAGATAGGCGCATTGATTTTCTGGCTTCAAGCACGAGATGCAGATGCAGGTGAGAACTCTCGCCTTCAATATTTAATTGATACAAGCGCGCCTGGAGGATTAATTGGGGTTGAATATTTATCAGTTCAGCCGAATACTGGTGAAGTACGGCTAAGATCCCAGTTGGACTATGAGACGATTTCACTACAGACTAGTGGTCCTGAAATTGTTATTCCAGTTGTGGTGCATGATAATCCACGTAATGGACGTCAACTATCAGCTCGAGCTACGCTTGTCATCAGAGTTCTAGATATAAATGATGTGCCTCCCAATATAATTGCAACTCCACTGTCTCCAGTACTTTCAAACGGTAACATTTATCCAAATATAGTTGGAAATAATCATGCCACATCTGTTTTTGGTATATGGGAGAATCAGCCACCCGGTCAACCAGTGGCCAGTATTCATGTTAGTGATCCAGATACGGGTGATGGGGGAGTTGTAACATGTACAATTACCAGTGAACATTTTCGTCTAGCAACTGAATCCTCTTCATCTGCATCTCATTATGAAAACTTATATGACAGTAATAACAACCTAGAAACAATGAAGTCTGATTACAGAGTACCAAAAGTGATAGAAGCACTGTCCGGTTCTGCCACCTACCAGCTTATATCTGCCCAACGTTTAGATAGAGAAACAACATCGAGACATCAAGTCCTCCTTACATGTAGAGATCACGATGCAGTAAGACCACTCGAATTCACTTATAGATTAGATATTGAAGTATTGGATGAAAATGATAATCCACCTATAATATCATCGCATAAAATTTTATTAACATGTCCAGAAAATGGGTCACCTGGAAGAGTTATCGGTCGACTGAATGTTACAGATGCTGATATTGGTGAAAATGCCCGACTACACTTTTGGATTGATGAGGCTGATGCCAGTTGGGTCAGTATACAGTCAAATACTGGAGAGATTCGAGTAAATACAGTATTCGATAGGGAATTAGAGCCTGAGCGTACATTCTATGTTTACGTATCCGACTCTGGTGCTAATATACACACAGCTTCAGCTGAAGTTAAAATTGAAATTCTCGATGAAAATGATCACACACCACATTTTACTGATTTGTACTTCTTCTCCATACCGGAAAATAGTCCACCGGACACAGAAGTTGGTCAAATTTATGCTATCGATGAGGATAGTGGAGTTAATGGCAAGGTATGTCAGATTGTGTTTTGGTACATTACACACAAATATGAAATATTTCAGTATGTCTTTAACAATTGAATATGATGCAAAAGTTTTACTCAGTCTAATTCACAATCTCAAAAGTACATATTTGTTGGGAAAATTTAAACGGAGAATTCGATTGTATATGATAATAAGGGTTCTGTTAGTTTAAACTCATTTGACTTAATGGTCTACGAACTCGCCTTGTAACCGGAAGGTCCTGCATTCCGACCCCACGGTATCGGTGCGTACTGATGAAGAGTCCCAGACTAGGACTAAATAGTTTTCCAGTAGTCCCAGATGGTTTTGTAATTGTTCTCCAACCGATGCCAGCCCATGATTAAATCCTGTAACCAACCAATACTTGAATGTCTGAGGTGAGTCAAACCGCGTAAACCACTGGTAAGCTTATCTCACAAAGATCAAAACGGTTATACAGTGTTTATATAATTTCAATCTGGTTGGCAAGAACTAATGGTTGACAAGAGGTGATTTCTGAATACTTATTTATGATTTAGAAATTAGATTTATGGAGCTCCGAACTAGTCTACTACACGGAACATTTTAAGGAAGTTTGGAATATCCACAGGTTGAAGTTTTTGATAAGGAAAATATCTACACCAGATTTCTAAAGTTTTATAGACATAAGTGCTATCAGAATGTCCAGGTTTCTCTATCACACCAGTTGGTCTCCAGCTGGCAGTTATAGACGGTACTTTAACTCTGATGTAGAGCATAAGCCTTCTGAAAGTTTCATATTTCCCACAATAACTATTACCAACAGTTATGAGACCCTGATGAGTTGAGGTTACCTGCAAATTGATTCTTTCGAACAGTCACTGCCGAGATACTTTCAGTTTTAGGTAGTTGGTTGATGTTGTTATTGATTTTATGCAATAACGAGGGAAATGGGTTGCCAGTTTACGTCTCTGATGACTGATGATGTCATTGAGGCGTAAATATTACTCAAAGGTGGTGTTGAACAACTACGTGATATCCTTCTATTAATCCTATCCTAAAAGTTATTTTGTATATTACACATTTGCATATTACTACTGACGACAGTAGTATTGTTAGTAACACGGCTAGTAGAAGAAGTAGTATTAAGGCTACAGCAATCTAATCTGTAATACAATTATAGTTATTACTGTGTGGGTTTTCCAAAAGAATAAGTAGTTCATTTAGCTTACACTGCATGAGATTCATAAAACTACCTAATACCTTTGTTTAAAGCAAATCAAGAACTAAATAAATAAATAAAATAAAATCTAGCCTACTACTCTTTCTACATAACAACGTCTGCCAGATGTTTTTTAAAAATCTGAATAGTTTTTTTCACTGAGAAACTGCATAATAGCTGAGCAAGTATTCAATAACTCAGTCTCACAGCGTGTGTTATCTAGTAAAATAAGAATCACGGAAATTTAGATGCTCCTGGGAGTACTTTAGTTTTCAAGCTACTCATTTCAATCGAATACTAAATTTTCATTCGGTTTGCTATTTATTTTGGTCAGCACTATCATGTAGTTAGGAGGGAGTGTTATATCTGCTGACCTGATTACTAATCTGTTCATATTAGCACTTAAAATAATAATAATAACAGTGATAATAATGTCAGCAAAAATAATAGCTGTGTAACAATGCTCAATATAAGATTCAAGGCACTGATCAGTAAATCCTGCAAAAGTCTCTACAGTTTTATATCCATATTAGTTGACAACACATATCACTAAACCATTAGGATCAAAACTCGAAGATGGTGTTTCCACTGAAAATTGAATCCAGCTCAAGTGCTGAGATATGCAGGTGGATGAATCAGATAAATTTTGTCGAAAAAAGTTATAGGAAAGGTATGGGGGAATGCATTTATACAAAAAAGGAGATCAAACTAAAAAAGTAGGTCAAGGAAATAATGGTTGCTGCACTTATTCCTGAGATCCTGCTTTCTAAATCGAATTGCTACGGCTTCTACAGTTTGGCGTATTCGATACCTAGTGGGTTTGATAGTTTATTAAGTGCAGTATAAAAGAATAAATCATAATCTAGTAACAATATGCCTAGATGTTCATTACCTTGAAATCCGCATGAAAATGTACTGCACACAGTATGAAGAACAAGAACCGGATTTCCAACACCAATCTCAGGTCAGTGACTCTATACGGTTCGGAGAGATTTGGTGCGTCAAAAAGGGAATTCTAACAGGCTATTACAAATGTGCATCAACATTTGTCTTCGCTCGCTGATGAAGATCGGATGGCTAACTAAAGAGGATTGGCAACAAGCAACTTTGGGAACGGAACAACCAAGAACCTTCTGCCAAATAAACATGCTGAAGGATATACAGATGAAATATAATTATAATTTATTTAATCTGTTACACAATCCTCAAACTTTTTACTGACATTGATATGGAGATGAACTGGACACACACTGGGGAGATAGCCGAGTGACATCATGTGCCAAGCACTGGAATGGAACATGAATGAAAAACTACAACTTATTGGCTGCAAGATGATATGAAACGGATCGTTTAAGGAGGAGAGGTTAGCATATGAGCAACCTTGGAAATAGCTAAAATTGGCTGCAGAAAATAGGATTAAATGGAAATGTCCTGTTCAAGTTTTACATCCAGCACAGAACCCAAGTGGTTGATAATAACGATGTACCCACATACATTACTTGAATTTCATCCTAATGATTTGGTGTTATGAAAAAACATTGGTGTTGTCAATATCAAGTATTCTCTAACTATTACAGATGTATAATTGCAGAACCTGATGTGAAATTTATCAAAATGTATGTTTTTTGCTCACTAATCAGTAATTTGAAATAATGATAATGATAGTACTAATAAATATCCTGAGAGAAATACACTGACTAACTGCTATTTGTTCTCACAAATAACTGATCTTCGGAACACACATAAATGACCTCAGAGATTTAGATAAATCTCTTTGAACCATGGTTTCGGTTGCAAAAGCTCATTAAACTGTGTTTATTCATGTGAATTAGCAAGCTGCTCATCAACTTCTTGTTTTAAATAGTCATGCTGTTTTGTCGAAGTAAGCTTGAAACAAACATGTTTTGAACTTAACACGCGTAAACTCTGTATGATTGAAATAATGTAACATCTGAAGTGTGGGAATCGTGGACAGGCTATAATATTTTCTGTATAAAGTACATAAACATATTGTCACATTATTAAACAATGGTGTTGTAACATTTCATTTGTTCATTCTCAACTCGCTTATCAATTCTTACAGAGTATTCAAGTTGAGTATAAATTAGCACAAAACGAATAGTATATACTATTCATACCTTAATTTATTTTGAATGAAAGCATTTTTCAATGAGATAAGTACTTTTGTATTTACATCATTAGTTTCGTTTCCTTAAAGGCGTAGTGGAACTTATGCTTTTAAGCCTAAAGCATTACTCTCAGTAAGTAGTATATTTAGAGAAGAAGTATGTAACTTATTAGAAAACTCCAGAGTATTCAACTTTTTATAAGTGCATGTTAATAAAGACCAGTTTGTTTTTAATTGTTTAGTGCAAGATGAAAAGCCATCAAGATATATATACATATACATATTCACTGTCATCAATTTGTTGATGCAGTTAGTCTGTAAGCACGACAAGCTATCACTTTGAATATACAAACTTAAGCCCAGAAGGGACTTTACTTTCAAATCACCTTAGACTTTCCTTTGAATGTAAGGATATTCAGTCGATCCACTAGAAAAATAAGACTGAAATCTTGGAAGAGTATCACAGTACTAAAGAATTTCTATGTGCCTAGAATCAAATATTTTGGTATCTCTGGTAACCCTTATTTTCAGTGGATTTTCAAATGATCAACTTCGACTATTTAATACAATTCAGTGACTTGATCTGTATACGTGTATTAATCTTTGAATCTTATCTGATGTGTGGGAAACTCATTATGCTATTAGATTACTACGTCATGGGTTGGTACTAAGTGGAAAACGGTATGAACCAGTGTTCGACTGCTTCCCATTGGAATTCCTAAGCATTTAATGATAATAAGTCATAATAATAATAGAATGAAGTAAGGTTATCCAACAATGGGATTAAGTAAATAATCTTTTCAGAATATTAGAAATCTTCAGAATGCATCCCTTCATTGGAGTCTGGAAGGGCGGGGAGATTATCTCGATAGGAACAGTATTGCTCTTGACTTATTTAGACTCCAGGCAATTATAATTAATGTATAATCCGATTGATTTCTGTAATAGTGACAAATAATTTAAACTTAACATCTCAATAAATTCTCTATATAAAACTGATAACGTATGATATAATAATATGCACAACAATGATAGTGTCGCTTTCATTTCTTACCTAGAAATATATGTATATACACACGTGTGTTTTACAGAAAAACGAAGAGATAAGTCAGTAATGAGATTATTATTCGCTGACAGCTACACCAAAATAATAATAATAATCATAGTAATAATATTAACAATATTCATAACAATGTTATTAATTGATATTACTTTCCACAAATTAAGGCAACCATCCCGCTAAAATTTACTGAGGGTGCATTCTCAGCTAACTAATAATTATTCTTATGGTGTGTTTCCGGAAATATCCGTTTCCTCAATATTCCTACTGATTCAATAGATCGAATAGATCATATGCTTTAAATGGCAGTAACCCGGCTGGTCGGTATGCATTCAATATGAAATTACATTTCATCTATACTGGCTAACCAGTATATTTAGTTGAGCTTTCTAGTAAATTACCTTTCTGTTCTCTGTAGAAACCTTGCCCAGTTAACTAGCCCGCTAGTTTTCTAGCCGGTCCGTAGCCCGGGTAATGAGGGAGCGTTGGGCTTGGAGCTAGCAACCACACAACACTGATTAATATGTGTGTAAAACTTGAGCACTGTGGCAGTAAGTAATTCCATATTAGTTTGTTTATTAGATGTATCACACAGTAAAACAGTATTATTTACTGGATGA